AGTTGTGTTTAAGGGTTCAAGCCAACCGTGACGTGTGGGCAACTACAAGGCAGCTCAGACAAAATATTTTGAACATGCAAACCGTTTTTTATGCCAGGGGTTGAACTAACAATCAACTTTTCTTTCTAACTCGGGGAGCAATAATTTCAATTCCTCCTGCTACAGGGTGCGGTAGGCTGTGGAATTTCGGGCGCTTGTGAAGCAACATCATAACTTTGATGAACTCTTTTACCCTCAGACAGAGATTTTGGATCCTCAGCTATACTGGAGGTAAAAAAAAATAATGTTTTTTGATTTATTTAATAATTTATTTTCTTTGTTTGAAGATGAGAAGGGATGGGTGTAGGCCGGTTAACATTTTTCATTATGACTTTCTCATGCCTGTTGCAATTATTAAGTTGAATACTTTGGGGTTTATGTTTGAAGAAGTGTAGTTTCTCAATTACCCTTGTTGTCCTCGAGGGAAGAGAAAAGATGAGGTGCGAAGGGCCTAATTAGGAGCTACTTAGGAATTAGGAGCTTCACATGTATGGTTTATACGTATGGCTTTTTTTATTATAGGATTTCACATGTACGGGCTCTCAAGGGTTTGATGGTCTAAGTATATTTATACCAGCTATTTTCAAGCACTTTTCCATGAGTTATAAATTAATTTATTCATTAGTGCTAGCTAATGACCTATGTAGTTTCGTTTGAACAATTGTTTTTCCCCTTTGCACAAGTGGATATTGGAAGAGGCTAATGATGTTATACTCGGCCTTTAATTTATCAAGCATATATATATTTGAGTACGTTTCTGATATCATCAGGTACAAGTGCTCAATTCTTCCATAGTTGCCAAAGCTTGGAACATTCTAACAATTACATGTATATGGATTTGTATATTACTTTAAAATAGTATTGTGTTTTATATATATATATATATTTTTTTTTAAGTTAGTTTGCGTGTGGTCTTCCTGTCTCTGTATGGTAGGTTTAAATTTGCTAAGATTTCACACTATTTTGTGGTTTAGTGTTATCTTGGACATTTGATTTGAGCGTATTTTTGTTTTAGGGCTTAATGTTTTTTTTTTTTATTATTATTATTTATAGATATTTAAACAATTATGTGTTTAACCAACACCAAATTTTCACTTGATTAACAACTAATTTTGGGTCGGTTGTGCGTGCACAATCGGAACCAAACTAATTATTATAATAATAATAATAATAACGTTTTCAAGTAAATTATTTGACCATGATCCCTACAAATTATAAAAATTACATTACCCACAATTCTTTTAATCAATATAGTGATTCATATGTACTCAAATAATTTATATAAATATTATTTTATTTTTGCTAATGATTAAATCTTGAAAATGTGGTATGTCCATTATCTAAAATTTTAATATTAAATTCACATATCTTGAAAATGTGATATGTTTACTATCTAGAATTTTAATATAAATTCACATATCTTGAAAATGTGATATGTTTATCATCTATAATTTTAATATTTAATTCACACATATTTCTTATAATATTTTATGTACATTTGTGCATATGAACGGGATGATAACTAGTTTTATATAAAAGTAGGAGAGAGATGATGTGAAGTGATAGTTAAAAATTATGTGAATTGATATTCTAATATTTAATTAAAATTGTAACGGTAATGTCTTAAAAGTAATATAATTGCACTCTTTGTTACTCATGCTTATTTTTAACTATTTTAATTAGGGCAATAAAATTAATTTATAAGACAAATATTAGATAAAAAGTAATATATAGATTTAAAATTCTTCTTAGAAAAATATATTTATAAAATTAAATCATAACCATATCAATTATTTTGTGAGATTTTTATTATTTGGTCTTCTCAGTTCATTATAACTATATATATATATATGTGTGTGTGTGTGTGGATTAGATAAGGACAATTCATAGAGGATGTATTCAATTTGAACTTTTAGAGACTTTTTAATATTTTCAGAATTCAGGTGTATTCAGTAAATATTGTTAGAGACTTCTGAAAAGTTTACATGTATTCAATTGAGACTTTTAAAAACTTTTAATAAATCTCTAAAAGTCTTAGGGTATTCAAATAAATTTATTTTAGAGTCTCTACAAGTCATCCAGTATTCAAAACGTAAAGACTTTATGAGATTTTTTAAATTATGACTTTATGAGACTTTAAAATGAGGAGACCTCTTAACCATTGAGTGTGTGTTGATTAATAACTCATATTAATCAATTAAAATACACATTAATTAAATAAAAATATTAATTATTATATTAAAATTATCTAAATTATAATTAAATCCATTGACCAACTGTTGACTGCCGGTCGGCGATCGTTGACCGGTCAACATCTCGCCGCAATCTCGAATTTTAGCCGGCCGTCGATGACCGACAGCAAACAGCGACCGGCGAACAATAACTCGCCACCCCCTCCCCGGCATCACCTCGAATTGCCGAAGCCGGAATCCCGCGGCCGTCAGAACAATAACTCCTCCAACAAGTTGCCCACTCGTATTGAAGAAAGATAGTTGAGTAGAGCTAATGTTGAATTAGATTTTGAAGTCGGAATCCCCGCGGCCGTCGGAGCAATAACTCCTCCAGCAAGTTGCTCACTCGTATTGAGGGAAGATAGTGGAGTAAGAACTAATGTTGAATTAGATTTTGAATGGA